TTTTCTGCTTTTTTCTTTTTCTTTTTATTATTTATTTTTTGATGTTACATTAGCACAAGACCCCAACTCAGAATGAGGCCCTGTTAGTACTAGACACTGTACACAAACATAGTAAGAGACAGGTCCTGCCTTGAAGGACCTTACAGTCTAAATAGACAAGAGAGACAAAAAGGGTGGGAGGGGAAGCTGGGGCATAGAGAGCAAATTGCCTAAAGTCCCCCAGCAGGTCTGTGATAGAGTTGGGAATGGAACACGGCTCTCCCAGCTCCCAGTCCACTGCTCTTTCCACTAGACTATGCTGCCTCTCACTGCCCTTCGCACTGCTTGGTGTATCCTTGTTGCTGGTAACACAGATAATTTTCCTCTCTGTGGCTGTGAAGATCAGTGAGGATTTACAACCACACCCCTACATGGAAAATACAAGGGAGTTGTTGCTGCATCTTCTCAAGGAGATTAGTCCAACCAGCCCACTCCTGTTGGCTGGTACTCTCGCTTCCACAATTTTAATGCTGTCTTAAGGGCAACCCTTCTGGAGGGTTAATATTCAAGGGCATGTGGCTTATTTAGCGAGCATAAAATGTGGATGTACAATGCTTGGCTCAAATGAGGATAAAGCACAGTCTTCCACAGAGCAAACTGTCTCTTACTTGTCCTGTCTGATGGCAGCATTGTATGTGTTTACCTCTAGCACAAAACAGATAAATACAAGTCATAGCTTTGTTCTTTTTCTCTGTATTAGTCTCACTTAGATCACAAATTGCTAGCTAGGTGTTAATGTCACAGCATTAAGTGAAAATAGCTTTAAAAGTCTGTATTCTAGTATTAATTTTCAGTATGCTCTTCGAAGCTGACACTGATTGTTTGCTTGCAAACTAGGGGACCAAACAGGTGATGAGAACATTACCCAGATGCTCAAGAGAGCTCACGACTGCAGGAAGACAGCTGAGAATGCAGCAAAAGCCCTGCTGATGAAATTAGATGGCAGCTGCGGGGGAGCCTATGCGATCACTGGCTGTAGCGTACAGCCCTGGGAGAGCCTGTCATCCAACAGCCACACCAGGTAACTGCAACTCATCGAGCCTATTAATCCCCAGGCCTTTGGTTTCAAACCTAAGTAGATTATGTTGTATTCCATTTATTCAACTATCCACCCTCACGTCAGTCTGCTGTGTTTTTTGTTTTTATTTTTTTAAATCACCACCATGCTTCAGTGAGCCTATTCTCAGACTTTGAGCAAGCTCCATGCAAGAAGGATTTTGTATAGATTTGTTGCAAGCGGGTGATTCTGATCTTTGATCTCGCTCATAAAGGGCAAAACCATAACATTTCTTTTACTTCAGTGATTCTGTTTCTCTCTCTCTTCCCCTCCTTCCCATCTCATTGAAACATGAAGCATGTACTTCTTGTTCACTGCTATTGTATTGAGGGCACCACAGGTTTCCAGGGAACTAGAAACCAAAAAAGTGCTTCCATCAAGGAAGGTTTCCATAAGCTTTTGGAGTGCTCAAGAATTGTTGTTTTTAAATGTCACAGCTATAACCATTTCACTTCTCACAGAAACCGAATAAGTTTCTGCCATCAGTTATAATGATTTTTCATAACAACCCCACTATCCCGAAAAACCTCCCTTTAGCAATTGACACTGTAGACAAATATTGACTGGTGGACAAACTTTTTGCAGGTTAGAGTGGATTTTTCCAGAAGGAAAAATCAGGATATTGAGATTTTTTTTTTAGACCTTTAAAATAATAAAACTTAAATGAACTATTATTTACAAAAATTATGTAGTTCAAATATTTCTGGGGAGCAGCTGCTTCTTCAGTACCTCTCTGTACAACGTATATACTTTGTGTGTGTTTGTACATAAAGACGTTGACTGGAGTTCAGGTTTACAGTGGCAAGAAATTGTCTTATGTTGGAAAAAGACTTAGGAATATAATAGCTGAAATCTCTGGTTGAGACAGCTATTTTCCCATCAATTGAAAAATTCTAGTCTATGTGTTTTCTGTTACACTTTCTAAAATACCTTCTTTCTCTAAAAATACATAAGATTTAGTTATTCTCTGCTGAAACTTTTATCTCACAGGATCGTGTGACCCTCCATTAGATCTGTTAGTGGTTTTGAGGACAAATTTGTTGCATTACAATGCCCTGATTCAACACTGTGTTCCATCACATCACAACCTCGTGTTGTTGCACTGGCCTGAAATAATGTTTGGGTCGCTGCCAACCTAAATTAGAGGAGAGGGGATAGTTTTTTGGTAGTCTGAATGGGTGGCAGACTTCTTGCAATAATAATGGTAACCATCTTATATAAATATAGGTGAACATTTTTCTTGATTAATTTTCAGTTTCTGTCCCTCAGATTCACTTAAAATTGTTTACTCAGTTTCTTAAGCAAATTTCTCCTTTTTTATGTTTTTATACAAAGTTGGTTAGCACCTTATCATTTCCCCCACAATTCCTATTTATTACATTGTGGCTGACAAGCCTAAAAAGCAGCAAAAGACTAAGAAATGTGGTCAAGTTCTGCATCAAACATCAGGGTAAATTTAAATATCTAAAACTAATGGGTCATATTGCTTGAAAAATATGCTGCAGTATCAGAGTTACCCTGTGCAGAGGAGATGGTGTTTGAGTACATACATTCATGTAGCGCAGTGTTAATTACTAGTAAATCAATAGTTTTGATGCCGAAAATATTGACCTGCTTAGGAGTGCAGTATACAAAACTATTTCAGGTCACTTGACCCTGTCTGTCATAGTCAGGGTGCAAAAATACTGGTTGTATACATGTACATTTGTGTGTTTTTTTCCTGGGTATATGACATAGCAACACACAGCTGAGGTTGCTTAAGCATTTATATTCTACAGGGTCATTTTTGATTGTTTATAATATTCTCAAAGTTTTATCTTTTTGTGGATATTTGGTTGCTCAGCCAGGGAAGGATTTTTTTTCCTGAAAGTTTCACTGTAAACAGTTGAACTGATTTCAAGGATGGAAGGGGAGAAAAATGTAGGTTTTTTGCAGTCTTGCTTTGGTATTGGAAACTTGACATTTGCCAGGGATGTATATAGTCCCTAGATGTTTCCCTAGTTTCATTGGTCTGGTGAAAATCAGATTTCATTTGGTTGAGTGATAGAGCTGAAAAAAATCATTCTACATACATGCCCTCTGCTTTTGTGGAGCAATGAAACTAATGATCTCTGTGATCCACTGGCTGTGTGCATGTGTGTGTAAAATTTGTTTTGGTTGACTAGACAATGTCTTAGCATGTACACATGCTTAGAATAGAGTGCAATTTCAGATTTAACAAGTAGAAAATTGTAGAATAAGATCTGTGACGGTGCAGATGAAAAAAATTTATAAATATGTATCTATATATTTTATGTATATATGCACATGTATGTGTGACCTATTAGCTTGAGTCTGTTCCTCTATCATTACATGATAAATTTCTCTGCTATTGAGAACATACCTGATATTGAACTGATACTACAGTTGAATGGTTACACACACAAACAGAGGACAAGAAAGTATGATTGAACAAATGTTCTTCTTAGAGTACTTGCTCATGTCCATTCTATTGTAGGTGTGTGTGCTTGCACATGCACCGGTGCTGGAAGTTTTTGCCTCAGTGGTATCTGTAGGGGACTGGCTCTGGCGCCCTCTGGAGTAGCGCGCGTATGCACCAGTATAAGGAGCGCCGTCAGCTTCCCCCTCCCTCAATTCTTTCTGACCGCCAGTGATGGTGCTGGAACGTTTCCTTGCCTCGGCAAGCTTTCCTATCTCAACTGTGCCTAGCAGCGAATTCATTGTATATAGTTGTTAAAGTTGTATTGTTAATAGTTCCCTTAGTGTTCAGTTAGAATTAATTAGTTAGTCCCGTACAGGACTTAGCCTAGGGACAAGGCATTCTCCGGTCCCCGGGCTTCAAGCCTTGTGACTGCTACAAAAAACCTATGCCAGTCAGTGATCCCCATAGAAGCTGCCTCAAGTGTTTAGGGGATACCTACGTGAGCAACAAGTGTCGCATTTGCAAGAGCTTCAGGCCGCAGACAAAAAGGAGAGGGACATTCATGTCCGAGCACTCCTTACAGAGTTTGCCCTGGCACCAGCTTCGGAGCCGACGAGATTGGACTCTGCTCCAAGCACTGCGGCCTTGGTGTGGAGCACGCTGCCGGCACCTACCTCTGACCGGCGCCGATCCCCATCCCCAGTTTCAGCTAAAAAGCAAAGAAAGGCCGGGAGAGGACGTTCTCCTACATCCTGTAAAGGGGAGGAGAACAAAGACCCACGTGGGGCAGCTCTTCCTCTTCGGACATTGGCCAGGCTCCAATTCCCATTGAGCGGGCAAGCCCACTTTCAGACCCGTCTGCCACCCAGGAAGCAGCAGAGGCACTTGGTACCTGGTGGTGCAGTCCACACCGGAGGCCTTTTAAGCCGCTAAGGACATACTGTCCTTTCTGGTGCTGCCCATGCCGGCCAGTGAGGTGCCCCGTTCGAGGGGTAAACCTGCCCTGTGACCCTTCCAGAGGTCTCCATCAGTGTGGCACTGCTCCCCTGCCAGCGTTCGCCTGAACAGCGCCACCAGCCGGATGCAGGTCGGCTTCCCTGCCAGAGTTCCCAGCATTAGTTCCCGGACTCTAGGCAGCGTTCCTCGAAGTCCTGGCATCAATCGCCGGCAGTCTGGCGCAGACCTGCAGAGGCACGTCACCAGTCCCCAGAGCCCCAGTGCCGGGAGTGCCCGAGTCAGTCTCCCAGTCTTCAGCACCGCTCCGGAGTGTCGAGGTGCTGGTCCCTGGAGCCCTGTCTCCAGATCACTGGTACGGATCACTGCGAGCACATCGATGGTCTCCAAGACATTGATCCTCTTGCTCCAGGTCTCTGGAGTGGCACCGTTCTCAAAGCGTGAGGCATTGATCTCCGCTATATTGTCGCCGATCCGCCAAAGGCCGCCACCGGTCACTGGAGTCGTGGCACCGAGAGCCATCATCCTGGTACAGATCCCCAGTGGAGGTCCGCGGAGAGAGCCAACAGGAATGGGGTAGACAGGAGGCCTCAGTACCATCCTGGTCCCCCAGACAAGTCTCTCCCTCCTCCGGGCTCTGACAGCAAGAAGGAAGTGTATAGAGCCCAAGGAGGAAGATCTGCCTGCAGGCCAAGGTCACCCACTGGGGACATCGGCATTCCCCTCTGGGCCACCAGTGGCTGCATGGCCCCAGGGCCAGTGGCCGGCTCCTTGACAACTATGGAACCCCCCCGGGGGGGTTCCCCATCTGTCAGAGGGGCATCAGTTGGTCTCGGGGGCATCCAAAAGATGGTTGGCGACAGTCTCCCGCCTGCCCCCTGACTCAGATGTGGAGTCAGAGCAAGCTCCCCGGGGACAGCCAGCCTCGGCCATGGGCTGCGGCTCCCCTGGCAGAAGCAGTGGAGTTGACAGAACCACCTATACCTGCCACCTCATCATCTTTGCCCTATGAAGCAACTGCTGGGCTTTCTCACGCGGTCCCCCAGGATGATGCAGGGGCCCACCAGGAGCTTTTGAAGAGGGTGGTGTCGAACTTGTGGCTGGAAGCCGAGAAGCTGGCGGAGCCCTTAGACTCCCTGTTCAATGTATTAAATGCAGCAGCCCCCTCCAAGGTGGCACTGCCAGTCCACGAGGGAGTGGTGAAACTAATCAAGGCTCTGTGGCAGACACCCTCCTCCCTTCCCCTCATCTGCAAGCAGGTGGAAAGAAAATACGTCCCCGCTAAGGGTTTTGAATATCTACATACCCACCCCGCCCCAAGCTCACTGGTTGTGTCGGCAGCCAATGAGAGCGATAGATAGGGCCAACCGGGATCAATGCTTATGAATAAGGAGGCAAAGAGGCTTAATCTCTTTGGTAGAAAAATGTATTCTATGTCCAGCCTCCAGCTGAGAGTGGCCAACGATCAGGCCTTGCTTGGCCGCTATGATTTTAATATTTGGCAGTCCATGGCCAAGTTTGTGGACTCGCTGCCAGAAGAGCCCAGGAAGGAATTCCTGGCGACCCTCAGTGAGGGCATGGCTGTGGC